GGCCGCGGCCGCCCCTCCTCCTACCGGGCTCTCCGCAGCGCCGTGTCTAGCCTGGCCCGTGTGGACGATTTTCACTGCGCGGAGAAGATCGGGGCCGGCTTCTTCTCTGAGGTCTACAAGGTAGGACCGGCCGAGAGGGCAGAGGGGCGGGACCGAGCCTTCAACCAGAGGCTGAAACTAGGGGGCCGGGAGTGCGGGGAAGAGGGTCCAGACTCGGGCGACCCTCCCGACCTGCCCGACCCTCGCCGGCCGCCCCCGCCCCCAGGTTCGGCACCGACAGTCAGGGCAAGTCATGGTGCTGAAGATGAACAAGCTCCCCAGTAACCGGGGCAACACACTACGAGAAGTGCAACTGATGAACCGGCTCAGGCACCCCAACATCCTAAGGTGAGCGGCCCCAGTCTCTGGGCAGCTTGCTGGGCGGGAGAGAAAAGGAAAGATCCCGCGGGAAAAGTGGAACTGAGGAGGAGCTGAGGCCCTTAACAGCCTACCCTTCTATCTTCCCCCTTCTCTTGCAGGTTCATGGGGGTCTGTGTGCACCAGGGACAGCTGCATGCTCTTACAGAGGTGAGGATAGACCAGGAAGGAGGGATTCCCACCCCCCCTTCACCCCCAAGGATAAAGGCAGTGAACAGGCCTGGTGGATCTACGGAGGACTAGTGAGAGGCAACAGGATCTCCTCCCAGGGGAGGCTTTCCTGAACTTCCCTTTAGGCAAACCACATATAAAAGGCCTCAGCTGGTCTTATTCTCTGTATCCCCTAGAATAGTGCTGTCCAATAGAATTTTCTTTAGTGATGGAAATGTTCTCTATCTGTGCTGTCCTATACAGTAGCCACTAGCCACATGTGGTTAAATTTAAATTATGTTAATTGTTTAGATTTTTTTTGTGGGTCAACTTGATTAAATTTAAAAATTTTTAAATTATTTAAGTTGTTGCACATGGCTAATGGCTACTGAGTTGAACAGGGCAACCCTAGAACATGGATGGAGGGTCCTGCAGCACAATCTTACCCCTCTGACCTCTGTGATCCTCCGGGGTGTCCCCTAGCTTATAAGTGGGGGACCTAGAATACAGACTGAAGTCTGACATCCATTCCCATTCTCCTCCTATGCACCAGTATATGAATGGGGGGACCTTGGAACAGCTGCTCAGCTCCCCTGAACCCCTATCCTGGCCTGTCAGGCTCCGCCTGGCCCTGGACATTGCCCGAGGCCTGCGGTACCTGCACTCCAAAGGTGTATTTCACCGGGACCTTACATCCAAGGTAGGCTAGTGGGGTGGGTGGAGGCATGAAAGAGGGTTTGAGACTATTAGGTTGTAACTGTCCTGTGGACGTTGGAATGTGGATAACAGATATATTAGGATGTTGGAGTGGCGAGGCATTGGAGAATATTGGGGGACCAGGGTGAGGGGAGTGCTCGGAGGGACTGAATAGCACCCTGTGTTTGGAGTGTTGGGTGATGTTGCAATATTGAAGTGCCTTGAAAAACTGGGAGAGCAGAGAGGGTTGGGATTATGCTGGAGTGACAGGGCTTTGGGTTATACATTGGGAGGCCAGAGGGCAGAAGGTGATGAGTGCTTGGGGATACTATGTGTGTGTGTGTCAGAACTGTCTAGTCCGACGGGAAGATCGAGGCTTCACCGCTGTCGTGGGTGACTTCGGGCTGGCTGAAAAGATTCCTGTGTATAGGTAAGGTGAATGTCCCTGTTCCCCCCAAATCTCCCAGAGTGCCCCTATCTGATGTCCCCAGAGCCCCAGCGATGTTTCCCTTGGGGAGAGAAGGGAGTTCACCTCATCCCCTTTTCCCTGGGGGAGATGCCTCAGTAGGATGTTTCTGACCACCCTGCCCCTGCCCCTGCAGGGAGGGGGCAAGAAAGGAGCCATTGGCTGTGGTGGGCTCCCCATACTGGATGGCTCCAGAGGTGTTACGGGGTGAGCTGTATGATGAGAAGGTGAGACATCAACCCTTCAGATCCCCAAGGCCTTCTGAGACCCTTGAGGTATTCTCATAAAGCCCCATCCATCCCCAAAACAACCCTACCAGATCTTCAGGAGTCCCCAAGATCCCTTTGCCCCTCACAGGCACCCTTCCAACACATGAAAACTGTCAAGATCCCCCACCCTCAACCAAATTCAGCTATATTCTGTCAAAATTCTGAAATGAAAACTGTTAATTCTTCCACGACACTATTATCTCTGACCCCCAGGCTGATGTCTTTGCCTTCGGAATTGTCCTCTGTGAGCTCATCGCCCGAGTACCTGCAGACCCTGACTACCTACCACGCACTGAGGTGAATGTCTCCAGGTTTGCAAAGGAAGAACTCCAGACTAGCCGGCTCATAACCAAGGAGGATTCCCTAGAGGTTGAGGTTCTGACTGGGGAGCAGAAGGAGAACCCAAGAAAAGCTGACTTGGAGGTCCCTCCTTCTGTCCCCACAGGACTTTGGCCTGGATGTGCCTGCCTTCCGAACTCTGGTGGGGGATGACTGTCCACTGCCTTTTCTGCTTCTGGCCATCCACTGCTGCAGCGTAAGATCCTCACAGCCCTTCCGCCCCACCCTGCCCCCATCTATAAGCTGCCATGGCTGCCCTATGGGACCCAGGTGATGGGAGGAAACTCAGAGACCCTGTTTCAGAGCACTGAGTGAAGCCATTCCCGTCTCTACCCATCAGCTGGAACCCAGCACCCGTGCCCCCTTCACCGAAATTACCCAGCACCTGGAATGGATCCTGGAGCAGCTGCCTGAGCCAGCCCCACTCACCAGGACTCCCCTGACACACAATCAGGGTAAGTGAGCATGACTTTGACCCAGCTTAAGTCCTTTGGCCTTTCTCATCCTTAAAACTCAGAGATGACATGGAGGAGGCTAAATATATTTATTAGTTGAAAAGGCTGGCGGTCGGGCTGGGGTAGGGTGGGAGGACATCTCAAAGAAGACAGTTTCCTAATGCTAAAGCTTGAGGGAGGGGAGGGGAACAAGTAAAAGGGGCCTGGAGATGACATCGCCCCTTTCCAAAGCACCAGGTGGGACTCCCTTTTTCAAGCTCTAGTCCCACCAGCCTCCTGGAGAATAGTAAGGCCCTCAAGGAGCTGTGATCAAATGCTGAGGACAGTGATTCCAGACTTCTCTGTCTACAGGCTCTGTTCCAAGAGGGGGTCCCTCTGCTACGCTTCCTAGGCCAGACCCCCGGCTTTCCCGAAGCCGGTCAGACCTCTTCCTGCCCCCATCACCAGAATCAACCCCAAACTGGGGGGACAATCTGACTCGAGTCAACCCCTTCTCACTACGGGAAGACCTCAGGGGTGGCAAGATCAAGCTTTTGGACACACCCAGCAAGCCAGTCCTGCCTCTTGTGCCACCATCGCCATTCCCCTCCACTCAGCTGCCCTTGGTGACCACCCCGGAGATGCTGGTCCAGCCTGGAACACCTGCCCGCCGCTGCCGCTCACTACCTTCATCCCCTGAGCTCCCCCGCCGTATGGAGACAGCACTTCCAGGTCCTGGCCCTCCCACCGTGGGCCCCTCGGCTGAAGAGAAGATGGAGTGTGAGGGCAGCAGCCCTGAGCCGGAACCTCCAGGACCAGCGCCCCAGCTGCCTCTGGCCGTGGCCACAGACAACTTCATCAGCACCTGTTCCTCGGCCGCCCAACCCTGGTCCCCTAGATCAGGACCTGTCCTCAATAACAATCCCCCAGCTGTGGTGGTGAACTCCCCACAAGGCTGGGCTGGGGAGCCCTGGAACCGGGCCCAGCATAGCCTGCCCCGGGCGGCAGCCCTGGAGCGGACAGAACCCTCGCCACCCCCTTCAGCTCCCCGGGAGCCTGATGAGGGGCTGCCCTGTCCTGGCTGCTGCCTCGGCCCCTTCAGCTTTGGCTTCCTGTCCATGTGCCCCCGCCCCACACCAGCTGTTGCCCGCTACCGCAACCTGAACTGTGAGGCGGGCAGTCTCCTCTGCCACCGAGGGCACCATGCCAAGCCACCCACACCCAGCCTGCAACTGCCCGGGGCACGCTCTTAGCAGTGGAGCCTGTGGTCTCAGGCCTCCAACTTTGGCCTTCAGGACACCCTGTAAGAACAGAGCACACTTGCTGGACAGTGCCAGTTCCAGATGGGCTGACCGGCTCTTCTCCCTGTGTAGGGGAGCCCCAGCATGGACTCGAGGGACAGAGCACTTCCAGTTCAATCCCCGGCTCGTGTTCCCATGGGGATCACTGAACCAGACACAGCATTGCTGACACATGAGACTAACACGTGCAATTATTTAAAAAGATTTCAATAAAACTGCCTGGCTGGCTCCGGGCTGCCCCTATCCACTCAACCCGTGCGCCCTCCTCCCCCGCCCCATTCTACCATGGGAAGTTCTTGCGGGGAGGCCAAAGTCCCTTCTAGAGGTGGCTTCACCCTTTTCCCAAGAACAGTCCAGTTTCAGGAAGAGGGAGCAGGCAGCAGGCTGGCTGGAAGTGTCAGGTGTGGATCAGCTGGTGGCTGGACACTGCCCAGAATGAGGGAACACAGGGAGGATATGGTCTGAGGACCCGCAGGCCTCAGGTTAGGAAGGAGGGGCACAGTTTCTTGTTGGCATGAGTGTCTGGAAGAGTAAAGTATCTGTGAGCTCCATGGTTGACTTAACTGAACCCTCATCCCGCTCACCCCATCTCCCCCTCAGTTCTCGACAGCCACATCACCAGCCTCCCTTAAGTTCTAGGCCTTACCTGTCCCTCTGCCTGCCCAGCCCATCCTAACATAAGCAGACCAAGCAACTGGAGGCTGTGGAGGAACTTTCATCCCAGGTACAAGTTTTCCCTCGGGCCCCTGGGTCCGTGCTCTGAGTCCTTCTGCCCCTGGACTCCCCATGCCTTGGCCCCATCCTTCACTCTTACCAGTTCAGTGTAAAGGGCTGTCCTAATCGGGAAATCTGAAAGTTGTCATCTCACAGATGAAGGGAAGAGAACGTTCACATGCCTCTGTCTCCGTTGTCCAATACCATGACCAAGTTTTTTGTACCTTGGTACATTTTGAACTTTGAACATAAACCCTAAAAAGTAATAAGGTAGAGCTGGGATATGCTCTGGACCCCTCCTATCCCACCCTCCCTTCTCTCCCCTTTCCCTGCGTAAAACCTAAGTCCTAACTCGCTTTGCCTGCCTAAGGCCACATCTGGGCATGGTTCAGGACAGATGTCTGGAGTTCAACTAAAACAGGCTTTAGAACCAGCAGAGGGAAAAATCACTCCAGGTCATAAAGATGGGAAGGCCAGGCCGGGCGCAGTGGCTCATGCCTGTAATCCCAGCACTTGTGGGAGGCCAAGGCAGGCGGGTTACGAGGTCAGGAGATCGAGACCATCCTGGCTAACACGGTGAAACCCCATCTCTACTAAAAGTAAAAAAAATTAGCCGGGCGTGGGGAGGCTGAGGCAGGAGAATGGTGTGAACCCAGGAGGCGGAGCTTGCAGTGAGCCGAGATTGCACAACTGCACTCCAGCCTGGGCGACAGAGTGAGACTCTGTCTCAAAAAAAAAAAAAAGATGGGAAGGCCAATTAGGGAACATAAGGAGGCTGCCACCCTGTTTCAGGGTCCCTAGGGTTGATCCTCAATGGTACCCCACTGCTCCCTTGATCACAGTGAAGTGGAGCTTCGATGGTACCCCCACTGCTCCCTTGCTTACTTCACTGAGGCAGCTCTAGTGCCTCGAGTGGCTGCTACTGAGAAAGTACAACCTCAGTTTGGGTGGCCTTGTCAAAGGATGGAGAAATGCTGCTGTCATCAGCTGTGGAGCCTTAACTAAATCCGTAATGTCTCCCCCTAAAAGCTAGCATAGGTCCCAACCTAGTAGTTACTGAAACAAAAAAGCATGTGCCAGGGACTTCTAGGTGGAAATAGAATGGAGAATAAGATTGCCTTAAGAAGTTATTAATCAAATAGAGAAAACAGACAAATACGCAATTACAGTGTTGATTTATGGGAGAGTTCTGAGGGAAGCAGGTGGGGAGGAAATCTGATTACCATGTCTTTATGGAGGGGATTATGAAGTTGAAAATACCCAGAGTCCGAACAAACTTACCTAGTGTGTTGTGTATCATCAGTAAACTTCTCATCCTTGTTAGAGCTGAGGCCAGTCCAGTATGAATTCCCTGAACCACCATTTGGCAACAGCCAATTTAAGACGTAGTAAGAACGCTAAGGGGAGATTCAGAGAGACCAGAGATATGTGGGGAGTGATGAGAAATACAGAAGAAAATGTATGCCCTAGGGAGGCCTCAGCTTCGGCAAGGGGGCTGTATATATGACAGCTCTTTGGTAACTGGTCCCTGAATCCACCAAGTGCCACCCTGCAGATGCAGGCTCAGTGCTCAATTTGCCTTCCAGCTGAGTAAGAATCTCTGCCAGCCTTTGGAGGGGAGTCATTGTGTGTGCTGTTCTGGCCCCAAGGAACTAATCCCTACAATCCAGCCCACCAGGTGTGGGACCTCTCTGCCTGAGAGGCCACAAGAGTCAGGGAACCTGTCAAGCAGCCCAGGGAGCTGACTAGCAAGCTGAGATGAGATACAGATTAAAGTAGAGGCCAGGTGCAGTGGCTCACACCTGTAATCCCAGCACTTTGGGAGGCTGAGGCAGGTGAATCACCTGAGGTCAGGAATTAGAGACCAGCCTGACCAATATGGTGAAACCCCGTCTCTATTAAAAATACAAAAATTAGCTGGGTGTGGTGGTGTGTGACTGTAGTCCCAGCTACTCGGGAAACTGAGACAGGAGAATTGCTTGAACCTAGGAGGCAGAGGTTGCAGTGAGCTGAGATTACGGAATTGCACTCCAGCCTGGGTGACAGAGTGAGACTCTGTCTCAAAAAAAAAAAAATGTAGATATGGTTCCTAAGTTTCTACTCTCATGCCAACTCTAATCATTTAGTAGGGGCTGCCTGGACCACTGTGCTGAGAAGATGCAGAGGTTGTTTCCAAGCTCAGAGGTCAAGAGTATTGTGATTCTCAGTTTCTTCCACGGAAAAGGAATGGCCACCCCAGCCATGTATGCACTGCCATTCCTGACTTGATGACATATGTCCCTTTACCAAATAGTACCCACCACAGTCTGTGAGTAAGGATATGCTTACTGATTGTTGATAAATTTCACTGAATGTGGCCAGCTTGGAAGACAGAGTTTCACAATGTTTTTGGCTCTCCTGCCAAGTTTTCGAAGTAGGTGAGATGTAAAAGCAGCTTTTCTGATGCATTGTCCATCCCATCGGACAGCAGGTGTCTAAAAAGCAGAAAGAGTGTGATAGCAGCAACAGTTGGGATGAAAGTAACTACTCAGCAATCTTTTGCTAACAATATTCTCCTAGGGCTAATCTCAGCACCTTCATGGACTTCTATGATCTTTGCAATCTTTCTTTCTTTTGCATCCCCTGGAAACACCGTACCTGTTCTTACTTAGTAAAAAGACTTTAACATTCAACAACATTACTTCTTAGCAATCTAGGAGGTTTGTCTTAATAGGGCTAATTTTATTACCCCAATTTCTGAACAATTGCAGTCCACCCTGACACTTTACCTAACATCTCTTGGGCCCATCTCCTCCACTCCCTAAAGCACCCCCCACTGCACATCCAAGACTTCCACTCCTCCAGCACTGGCCCCCTCCTTCCCTCTCCAATTTCCTACAAGCCAAAAATGTTGGGTCCTGTTTTGCAGAAACTGAGCTCTCTCCATTTCCCTCAAAATTTCTCTTCTCTGTTCTTCTTTTCCTGACTATCCATAAGAAATAAATATCCCTCTTTCTTCAACATCCTACATCCCAATCTGCACTTCTGATCCCCAGACCACCTCTCTCCATTGCTTTGTTCCATCAGTCCTACCTTCATCATTCAAAAATCATTCGCTCCCCACTAGCTCCCTCTGTTCTCTCTACATGATCTCATGTCCCCACCCTGCTACTCCCTTGAGTTACTGTCCTATGGCAACTTAAAGGAATAAAAAGAAATCCCTGCTGGGCACAATGGCTCACATCTATAATCCCAGCACTTTGGAAGGCCAAGGCGGGATGGATCACCTGAGGTCAGGAGTTCAAGAGCAGCCTGGTCAACATGGTGAAACCCTACCTCTACTAAAAATACCAAAAAATACCCAGGCACTATGGTGCACACCTATAATTCCAGCTACTCGGGAGGCTGAGGCAAAAGGATCACTTGAACCCAGGAGGCAGAGGTTGCAGTGAGCCGAGATCACACCACTGCACTCCAGCCTGGGAGTGCACTTCAGTCTCACAGAGTGAGACTCCACCTCAAAAAAAAAAAAAAAAAAAAAGAACAGAACAGAAAAGAAAAGAAATCCGTATGGCCAAATGGAAGAAAGTGAGGGGATAAGTGGAACACTGAAAGGTAGGCAGGGGTGTTGGAAGCTATGTTAAGGATTTTTTATTTTTATATTATGAGAAAGAGAAAGTCAGTGTAGGATTTTACACAGAGGAATTTTGTTCACTAGCTATATCCCAAGTGCCTGGGCACAGTGCTAGAACATATTATCTGTTATGTATTCCATAACTGTTTATGTAATCAATTAACTGGAATGCTCTAGATTGGGATGACATGATCAGATTTTTGTAAAGAATTACCCTGGCTCCAATATGAAGAATGGACTGCGGGGAGAGGAGTGAGTAGGAAAAACATTTAGAAAGTTGTTGCAGCTATCCTTGCAAAAGATGAGGATGGGGAAAATCCAAATGGATTTATAGACTTGGTGATGGGAAGTGGAGGGAATTCCTCTCAGAGTGGAAGGTGAGGGCATGTGCTGAAAGTGAGGGAGAAGGAGTTATTATGGAGAGCAAGCTAACCACTGCAGAGGTTGCCAGGCAGTGCTGAGAGACTACAGTCTCAGTGGCACTGAGCAAAATGATTCCACAATTTGTCACACCTTGGTGCTGACTGTGGGCAGTTGGGTTCATCCAGAGTTGAAATTTTGCCCATCAGGTGCACTAGAAGGATAACGGAACAAAGAAGCAAGTGAGCCATGTGCGGTGGCTCACGATTGTAATCTCAGCACTTTGGGAGGCTGAGACAGGAGGATCGCTTGAGCCCAGGAGTTCGATACCAGCCAGGGAAACATAGTGAGACCTTGTCTCTATTTAAAAAAAAAAAAAAAAAAGTGAGTAGTAAAAGTGATGGGCTCCAAACCCATGATAGGTAGGGAGAGAAGTGTGGACAGGAGACAGCTGATGGGAAGGGAGAAAAAGGGGAGTCAGCAGATTGGAGGCCTCAATGAGATCAAAAAAGTTTGGAGAAAACCTGGAGGAGTGGTGGGCAGCTGTGATCAGAGTGGAAGTCTGAAACCATCCTTTTGCCAGAAGAGCAGTTTGGGATGTAGAGGTCTAAGGTGCTGCTAAGAGAATGGGCAGCCCTGGCATGGAACTGATGATCACAGAGGTTCAGGTTAAGGAAATGAGGGCAAGGGGCGTCTGCACATAATCTTGCTGTCTTATGCCTGGGGAGATCGACCAGATGACCCCAAGCTAGACAGAGCCTAAAGCTGATCATAGCCCAAAAACACCCCAGTCCCCTTGGGCCTGGCACCTTGCCTAGACCCTCAGCCTGTTTTGACACAGCCTTGCCTCTTTTATGTGTCCCTTTCCCCATCTCCACCTACTGGCTGGGGTCCTGCTTTCAAAATGAATGGACACCCCATCCTAGTTCCCTACACCACAACTCCAGGCTCCACCTCACTGTGAGTGCTGAGAGCCTCACTGCCTTGCCCCACCACCAGGTTGCACTCCATGTCAGTCAGTTAGTCTTACCCTTTGGGGAGATCTCAGCTATAATGAAAATTAATGAAAATTGAGGACCCTGTCTTTAGAAAGATGTGCAAACTGCCAAGTTCACATCCAAATTTGGGGGCGTTCCAGATCTTTGTCACTGATATCAACAAGAAGAAACCTTGGACAGTGTGATTTGGACTGCTGGCTGCCATCCTCCTGTACCCCACAGGATGAGCCTTGGAGCTCGGTGGGTCCCCCTAAATCCAGTATGCAGCTTGGTCCTTCTCTCTGTTGGCCAAAGCTGGACAGCTCATGTCAGCCACCACTCTGGTTCACTGCCCCTTTCCTGAACACCTCACAGGCCCCTGGGTGATAGACCCCTTCCACTAGTATCTCCTTGCTCCAATCCATCCCTCCCTTCTCTCCTCTCCCCAGAGCGGACACCTGATGAGCGGCATGTGAAGAAGGGCTTCAGTCTGTTCTCCATGTTGCTCAGCTTCTGCTCCAAGGCCCTCCTCTGTTGCTCCTCACTTTGCAAGGTCTCCTTCGTCTTCTCGCTGTCTGTCTGGCAGGCCTGTAGCTGCCCTTCGGCCGCCTGATGAGCCCTCTGTTCCACCTCTAGTGCTTCCTGACTCTGCGCCAGCTCTCTCCTGGACCCCTGCAGATCCTCTGCGCTCTGTCCCAGCTGCCTTATCTTCAGGTGGAGCTGCTGCCTCAGGCTGCTGTTAGTGGCTTCCAGAACCCTATTCATCTGCTGGAGCTGCTGAGACACCTGCAGATCTGTTTGGCCACAGAGATTTGGTGGATGTCTTCTCCAGCCCTGCCCTAGTGCCCTGAGACTACAGCATCAGCCCTTTTTCTCCTTCTTGCAACTTTTTGCATCACAGGCTGAAATACAAGATTTGACTGCCTAAAGTGTAAGGAGGTACTGGATTAGGTGAGGACAATTCAGGAAGACAACAGCCCTGGCAGGAAACCAAACCCAAAGCTAAGGATGTGGTGGTAGTGACTATGAGCCCTGCTGAGGAAGGTCAGCTTTGCGGGGAAAGTCAGGACGAAAGTCGTTCCGTGTAAGTGGGAAGTGGGGACAGCCTTACTCACAGCGCACTCCCAGGCAGATGACGGCTACTCCTAACAGCAGGCAGGTGAGCAGCAGGCCGAGCAGGAAGTATCGCAGGCAGGCTGTGCGGCCTTAGGGGGACAGTGGGATGGATGCGGGCAGTCAGCCCCCGGAAAGAATGTAGAGACGAGGGGACAGGTCCGCGGGGGAGACCCCTGGGGAAGGCATCCCTAAGAGGAGGGAGGTGCAGAGCTGAGGGGGCAACCATGGTGGTTTCTGTTGGGTAGCGGGGTGTTTCGCAGGTAGGGGAGAGGGTGTTCCAGAATCAGAGCTGGTAAGGACTCAGGGGCATAACCTGGGAGAAGGGGAAGGAAATATCAGACCGAGAGAGGGAGAGAGGAGAAGCGGGGCAGGAAGGCGAATTGGGACCATCCGCAGGGGGGCGGTGCACGTCGGATTCAGACGCACCCGATGTAGGTGAATGGGGCAGGGCAGCCGGGGCGGTCGGAAGGGCTGCGCCCGGACTCATCCTGGGAAGAGCTGCACCCCGCGGGGCCCAGCGCCATCCG